ACAATCCAACTATACACCTAACGTAACTAGAAAAAAAAGAACAAATGAAACCCAAGTTAGTGTAAGGAAGGAAATAATGAAGATCAGGGTGGAAATAACTGAAATAGAGATTTAAAAAAACAATGGAAAAGATCAATTAAACTAAAAAGTTTTTTTGAAAAGATAAACAAAATCAATAAACCTCTAGCCAGACGTCAAAAAGAGAGAGAGGAAAAGGGAGAGAAAGAGGACCCAAATAAATAAAATCAGAAATGAAAATTGAGAAGTTATCACTGATACAACAGAAATACAAAGGATCAGAAGAGACTACAACACACAATTATATGCCAATAAGTTGGAAAACCTAGTAAAAATAAATTTCTAGAAACCCACAAACTTCCAGACTGAATCATAAAGAACAGAAAATCTGAACAGATTACAAGTAATGAAATTAAATCAATAATTTTAAAACTCTAAAAAACAGAAGTCCAGGACCAGACAGCTTCCCAGGTGAATTCTACCAAACATTTAGAGTTAGTACCTATCTTTCTCAAATTATTCCAAGAAATTGAAAAGGAAGGAATGCTTCCAAACTCATTTTGTGAGGCCAGTATTACTCTGATACCAAAACCAGACAAAAAAACACCACCAAAAAAGAAAATTGCAGGCCAGTATATCGCTGTTGAACATAGATGCAAAAGTCCTCAACAAAATATCAGCAAACCAAATTCAAAAATACATCAAAGGATCATATACCATGATCAAGTGGGATTTATGCCAGGGATGCAAGGATGGTTCAATATCCACAATTCAATCAATGTAATACACCATGTTAATAAAACAAAGGATAAAAATCAGATGATCACCTCAATAGGTACAGAAAAAAGCATCTGACAAAATTCAACATCTATTTACAATAAAAATTCTCAACAAAGTGGGAAGAAACATACCTCAACATAAAAATAGGACAAACCCACAGGCAACCTCATAGTTAATGGTGAAAAGGTAACATCTTTCCCTATAAGATTAGGAACAAGACAAAGATGCCCACTCTCACCACCACTTTTACTTAACATAGTACTGGAAGTCCTAGCCACAGCAATTAGGCAAGGAAAAGAAATAAAGACATCCATATTAGAGAGAAAAAAGTAAAACTGTCACTATTTACAGATAACATACTACATATAAAAAAACGTAAAGAGATCACCAAAAGACTATTAGAACTAATATATGAATTCGGTAAAGCCTCAAGATACAAAATTAACATACAGAAATTGGCTGTGTTTCAAAGGGAAAAAGAGGGAGAAAGAGAGAGAAACAAAGAAATAGACTCTTAACCATAGAGAACTGATGGTTACCAGGGTAGGGGGGGAGTTGGGTTAAATATGTGATGGGGATTAAGGAGTGCACTTCTTGTGATGAGCACTGGGTGATGTATGGAAGTGTTGAATTGCTATATTGTACACCTGAAACTAATACAACAGTCTAAAATTAATTAATTAAACAAAGAAGTTGGCTGCATTCCTATATGCTAATAATGAGCTATTGGAAAGAGAAATTAAGCAAACAATTCCATTTACAACTGCACCAAAAAGAATAAAATACCCAGAAATAAATTTAAACAATAAGGCACTGATGAAAGAAACTGGAGAAGACAAAAATAAATGGAAAGATATCTCAATGTCATAGACTGGAAGAATTAATATCATTAAAATGTTCATACCACACAAAGCAATCTACACATTCAATGCAATCCTCATCAAAATAAAAATACCAATGACATTCTTCACAAAACTAGAACAAAGAATCCTAAAATTTGAATGGAACCACCCCAAATAGCCAAAGCAATTTTGAGGGGAAAAAACCAAGCTGGAGGTCATGCTTCCAGATTTCAAATATACTGCAAAGCTATGATAATCAGAATAGTATGGTTCTGGTATGAAAACAGACACACAGATCAATGGAAAGGAATAGAGAGCCCAGAAATAAACTCATACATATATGGTCAATTAATCTATGATAAAGGAGGCAAGAACATACAATGGGGAAAATACAATCTCTTCAATAAATGGTGTTGGGAAAACTGGACAGCTACATGTGAAAGAACGAACTGGATCACCATCTTATACCGTATACAAACATAAATTCAAAATGGATTAAAGACTTGACCCTAAAACCTGAAACCATGAAACTCCTAGAAGAAAACATAGATGGTAAGCTCTTTGGCATTGGTATTAGCAATATTATTTTAGAACAGTCTCAACAAGCAAGGGCAACAAAAGTTAAAGTTAATAAATGGGTTTATATCAAACTAAAAAGTTTTTGTACAGCTAAGGAAGCCATGAAGAAAATGAAAAGGCAACCTACTGAATGGGAAAAGATATTTGCAAATCCAACAATGAATAACAAGTTAATATCCAAAATATGTAAAGAACTTATACAACTTAGTATCAAAAAACAAAACAAAACAAAAAAATAACCTGATTTGAAAATGGGTGAAGCACTTTAATAGACAATTTTCCAAAGAAGACATACAGATGGCCCACAAACACATGAAAAGATGTTCAATATCACTACTCACCAGTGAAATGAAAATAAAAACCACAATGAGATATCACCTCACACCTGTCCAACTGGCTACCATCAAAAAGACAAAAAATAATGAGTATTGGCAAAGATGTGGAGAAAAAGAACCCTTATACACTGTTGGTGGGAATGTAAAATGGTACAGCCACTGTGCAAAACAGTATGGAGGTTCCTCAAAAAATTTAAGAAAGAGGGGTGCCTGGGTGGCTCAGTCGTTAAGCGTCTGCCTTCGGCTCAGGTCAGGATCCCAGGGTCCTGGGATCGAGCCCCGCATCGGGCTCCCTGCTCAGCGGGAAGCCTGCTTCTCCCTCTCCCACTCCCCCTGCTTGTGTTCCCTCTCTCGCTGTGTCTCTCTGTCAAATAAAGTCTTTAAAAAAAAAATTAAGAAAGAATACCATACAACTCAGCAATTCCTCTTCTGGGTACTTATCTGAAGAAAACGAAAACACCATTTCAAAGAGATATATGCACCCCTGTGTTCACTGTAGCATTATTTACAACAGTCAAGATATGGAAGCAACCTGTGTCCATCAACAGATGAAAGGATAAAACAGATGTGGGGGGTGTGTATGTGCATATGTGTATGTACACATATACCTACACACACACATACACACACACACACACAAATGGAATATTATTCAGCCATAAAAAAAAGAATGAAATCTTGCCATTTGTAAAAACATGGATGGACCTACAGGGTATTAGACTAAGTAAAATAAGTCAGACAAAGAAAGACAAAAACCATGTAATTTCATTTATATGTGAAATCTAAAAAACAAATGAACAAGAGAAAACAGAAACAGAGTCACTGATACAATAAACAAAATGTTGATGACCAGAGAAGGGACAGGTTGGGGGCAGGCAAAACAAGTGACAGGGATTAAGAGGGACAAGCTTCCAGTTATAAAATAAATAAGTCATGAGCATGTAATGTATACCATAGGGAATACAGTCAAAATATTGTAATAACTTTGTATGGTGACAGATGATAACTAGACTTATTCAGGGCATATGATAAAGAGATCTATAACTTTAATATTAATATTGATATGAGTGATTGCAAGGCCCCAGGAAAGCTACTACTTTTTCATGAAAAAAAGCAACATAACAAATGTAGGTCTATTATAAAAAGTTAGTGTGGTATAGGGGAAAGAGCAGTGAATGTGAATTGGTAAAGAATCTGAAGCCAGAATATTTGAACTCTTGTCCAGTTGTGACATTTCCTTATCTCTGAAATGGTGATAATTAAACATGACCCACAGTGTCACTGCAAAAGTCAAACATAACAATGCATGCAAAAAGGCGTATATATAGACAGCATACAGCATTAAATGTTTCTCTCAGTAGATATTAAGCTCCTCAAAACCAAAACTAATCTTATCTTTTTTATGCTTTGAACCTAGCACAATCTTAGGACTCATAGAAGACTCTGATGAATGTTTTGGTGAGTAAATGAATTACCATCCAGAAACCACATACACACACATACACACAGACTGGTCTGACTGCATGTACAGTTGGGCAAGATGAATTTTATAATATGCAAATGTCAGCTTAAAAAAAGTTTATGCTGGTACAAACTTCCGGTTATAAAATAATTAAGTCATGGGTATGTAATGTACAGCACAGTTAACAATACTGTATTACGTATTTGAAAGTTGCTATGAGAGTAGATCTTAAAAGTTCTCATCACAAGAAAAATTTATAACTATATGTGGTTATGTATGTTCACTAGACTTATTATGGTATAATAAAAAATTTCATGCTAAAATATAAGTGAACCAAATTTGTGTTTGTAAATATGTTCATTCTACACATAAAATAAACCTACACATATATGTATGATTTAATAGTTCAAATATCTTGTGTAAACAGAACACATAAGTGAATTGTGATGGTTTTTTTTGTTTGTTTTAAGATTTTATTTATTTATTTGACAGAGGAAGAGACAGCGAGAGAGGGAACACAAGCAGGGGGAGTGGGAGAGGGAGAAGCAGGCTTCCCGCGGAGCAGGGAGCCTGATGCGGGGCCCGATCCCAGTGCCCTGGGATCATGACCTGAGCCGAAGGCAGACGCCTAAAGACTGAGCCACCCAGGCGCCCCAGAATTGTGATTTGTTTAATGGAACTTATCGCAATCAAAGCACCTAAGATTCAGTGGAGTGAAAAATAAATTCCTCCTTGGAATGATTCTTTAACTTCAGAGTGTTCACGGCAGTGTGTTGCTATTATGGCCAAATATTTGTTACACATGATTACTCTTCAGCAAACCTTTCAGAAGCAGTCTGAATTTTATTTACAATAGTAAAAACCTTACTATCAAATTATAAAAAAAATTCTTACTATCAAATCATTTTGACAATTTGAGGGAGAGGGGCATATTGATTTTATAAATAAAAACTCTATGAAGTTAACTGAAAGAAGGTGAGTTACCTGGGTCTGTAGAGGCAATAACATAGGTGTTTTGTTTTAACTCTTTTGGCCTGAATGAATATTCTCATCCAAGGTTCAAAATACAGAACAGATGTGTAGGCTCTGAATGACCATCTCTCTGGAAAACTAGAATAGAAAATATCAGAGGGCACACTGTAGAGGATGCACCAGCAAATCTTGCAACACTCACATACCTCATTAAGCAGGCCTTTAAATACAAAGGGCTACATAAATCACCTACCCTTTGATTAGAACTGAATTTTTGTTGGCAACTGATGCTAAGTAGACTTACACCAGCAATAGAAAATCCACTTCCCATTAAAGCTATTGGATCAGAAGGGCAAAACCAAGTCAAACAAATAAAACTATCCCCCTGCTCAAACATAACAACAACAACAAAAATCTAGACCCCCATCAATAAGAAACATTCCCATGAAGTTACTGTAAACAGAGAAATACAATAAAAATGTTTCATTTGCCTTAGAAATTATGAACAATAAATATAAAACTTCATTCTGTAAATGCAGTTAAGTATTAAGTATTTATGGCCAACTGAGGGGAGAAGTCTGACAACCTGACAAGTGAGAGGATAAAGGAGAAAAATGAAGGACAGAAAGGCAATAAAGTGGGAGCAGGCACAGCGTAAAGAGCCTTATGGAGAAAACTACTCTTGTAAAAGTGCACGTTGCTGGGAAGTCACAGCGTTGCCATATACTAACTCCAGGGACCTTCTATATTAGAGTCCATTTATGAACTGTAAATCCTCTCTAATTAGACGAGAAATAAAGATCAATAACAAGCCCAGTTACGCTGAGGAAATAGCATTCTTTACCTACTGAGCCCCGGAAAAGGCTTCTATGAAGGTCAAATAAAAAGCAGGGAGCCCTACGCCCACCATGTTGACAGTCCTACCCCAGTCCAAAGGGAGACAAAGATGATGGAAAGGAAACAGAAAGCCTGTCAAAGGGGGGACAGCTCAACCGAGTCGCAGACCACTGCCAGTTACTTCATGAGAGAGGGCAGAGCTCCAAGGAATTTACCCAATTGAAGATAAAGCCTGTAAGAAATCCAAGGATTTTGGGCGCCTGCGTGGCTCAGTCATTAAGCGTCTGCCTTTGGCTCAGGTCATGATCCCAGGGTCCTGGGATGGACCCGGCATTGGGCTCCCTGCTCAGCGGGAAGCCTGCTTCTCCCTCTCCCACTCCCCCTGCTTGTGTTCCCTCTCTTGCTGTGTCTCTCTCTGTCAAATAAATAAATAAAATCTTTAAAAAAAAAAAAAAGAAAGAAAGAAAAAGAAAGAAAGAAAGAAAGAAAGAGAAAGAGAAAGAAAGGAAAGAAAGAAAGAAAGAAAGAAAGAAAGAAAGAAAAGAAAGAAAGAAATCCAAGGATCTCCTGGTTGGCCATAAGTTCCTTCAGGATTTCTTTTAATTGTTTAAAAAGTAATTCTTTTCAAGTAAGACTTCATAGAATTTCCCAATAAAAGATATAGAAAAGTATCTGGTGCATGGATATTATTCTGTAAATACTAATGCATCTTTAACATGGCCAGAGAGGCTATTATGGTGTAGCACCATAATACTGGAGCTGACTGTGAGTACACCAGAAGTTGCACAATCAAGTAAATCCCCACCTGTTAAAAGAAAAAGGAAAAAAAAACAAAGTCACCTTGGGACACTATAAATATTCCAAGGACTTCAAATCCTTTCTGGATCTGTTGATTAAAAATTGCCCTTAGACTGGGGCGCCTGGGTGGTTCAGTCATTAAGCGTCTGCCTTCGGCTCGGGTCATGATCCCAGGGTCCTGGGATCGAGCCCCGCATCGGGCTCCTCGCTCTGCGGGAAGCCTGCTTCACCCTCTCCCACTCCCCCTGCTTGTGTTCCCTCTCTCGCTGTCTCTCTCTCTGTCAAATAAATAAATAAAATCTTTAATAAAAAAAAATTGCCCTTAGAGCCAGTAGCTTTCTTTGACTCTCTTAAAAGCTAACACATTTTTTCTAAAACTAATGATGTAATGTATGGGGATTAACATAAGAATAAAAAAATAAATAAATAAATAAAAATGATAATTGACTTAAAAAAAAAAAAAGCTAACACATTTTTGTCATTTGAAAGTAAAAGTTAAAAGTAACTCAGAGCCAAGTTTGAGAATTTAAGAAATAATGATGAGAGATCAAACTGGGTTAGAAGAGTTTGGATTTTAAATATATATATACAAAAACAAAATAAGGAAACTGGTACTTCTACCATTAGATAGCTCACTTCTTGTCCTCATCCAATAAATATGTATAGGTAAACAGTCACAGCAGGTGTGTTGGTGATCCTCACCTCCTCTATGCTAGGAAATTCACTGGAAGGGCTCATGGGACTTAGCATAGAGTTGTACTTATGGCTAAGTTTTATCACAGCGATGCAGTAAGGATATACAGTGGATCATAACAGGGAGAGATAGGTGGGGCCTGGAGGAATCCAACTGCAGCTTTCTTGTGTGTTCTCCCTCTCGTGAAGGGTCAGAGCACATTCTTCCCCCACCTATGAAAATGCAGCAACATGTGTGTGATGTTTCTGCCTAGGGAAGCCCATTAGAGACAGCACTGAAGGGTTTCACTGGGAGTTGGTCAGCTAGCATGTACCAAAATTCCAGCATAAACCACACTGTTTGCATAGTCTAGATATAGTGAGCCAACCTTATTAGTTAGGGAAAGTTTTCTATCAGTGTGGGAGACTTGACCAGCCAAGGGCCAACCTTGAAAGCAAGACTTCCTGTGGACGAAAGCCTTCCATGTTAACCCTCTTACATACACGTGCCACTTTCGAACGTTCCTAGTTATTTGTAACAAACAGAATGGCAATACTTCTTATGTTATTGTGATGTCTGTGATGGAAAGAAGACAAAAGCGGCTAAATATAAAAGCTACATAGGAAATAGGTAGCCCAAATATAACTTTCGAACTTCTTCATGTGATGGATAAGGTCCTTCATGATCTGGCCACCACTTAAGTCCCCAGCCCCATCACTGGCCAGCCGTAGTTAGCGTGGGCATCGAGGACCATGCTCAGGTCTCCAGATATGGGTCATGCTTTCTTATACCCAGGCCTTAGCACATTCAATTCCTTGGCCACTTTTGGTTAGTTCCTTTTCCCCTTTCACAATGCAACTTGAGATCTCCTGTCCTCCTGAAGCCTTCCCTCACTCCCCAAGATTGGGTGAATCACGTGGCTCTGGTGCTCCCTGTCTTCTGTGGCTCCCCATCACAGCACTTGCCATCTAGAGATGTCACTGTCTTTATTTATCTGTACCCCCTTCACGTTGTAAGCCCCATGAGGCTTACATATTTATTTATCATCAATAAATATTTGTTGAATCAATGATGATTATTCAGGACTTCCTTGGCTTAACTTAGAATGAACAACAGGGGGTTCCCTTTACGAGAAAGACTTTTAAATGACCGATCATCTTCGATGGTGATGCTTTCAATCTTTATAAATAAAGCCATTCACTTAGGAAACTGAAATACAAATGTACTAAGTTGTCTCCAAAAGATCTGAGAAAAAAATACTGTTATTCCCCACCCACCAGGAACTACTCCACATGTTTTTTTTTCAAGAAGTGTTCTCTTGTTTACTACTAAATGTCTTTCTTTTCTGTCTTGGACTTTGCAGAAGTGCCCATATCTCTATCTTTGCCTGTATCTCTCTCTCTCTCATTTTCTATTTAACTGGTATAATAAACTAAAGAAAGGAAGAGAGAATCCCGCCCAACACACACACGCGCGCACGCCAGATCTGGGGAAAGAAGAGCGTTTTAAGCCAGAAACTGGTTTGAAAGTTTGTGGAATGGCCTATGCATTTGTCTCCAGCTCAGCATTTGGGTATTCTTATAAAGGCTCTGATTCCGCCTCCAGCTGTGGCTGTGGCCTCATGTGGCCTCTTTCTCCTCCCAATCTATGCACATTGTTCTGCTGCTGTTTTAAGGGTTGCTCTATACACTGCATATCGTGGGTAGATCGGTGGGGTCACCAATCTGTTAAGGACAGGACAGGGGCCCAAAAGAGATGTCCTGTGGCCAGCGTCCTATCTCCTTTACCTACCAATTCAGGTTCTCTGTGGCTGGAATCTGACAATGTAAATTTTTTAAAGCTACCCAGGTGATTCCTTTAACTCTGCAAGTTTTGAGAACCACTGCTTGGTAGACCTACTGGACGAGGTAGTATGTAAGAAAGGTTGCCTGAAAGAGAGAAGCAGGTGTTTGGATGCAGGACGCCCTTTACATTTATCCACAATGGGTACACAGAAAACGGACTCCCACTGAACTGCCCTTGTAAGGTCCACAGTTGAGAAAATGACTCTAAACTCCAGGCACTAAATCAGATTCCTTTTGGAATATCTCAGAAGTGCCATATTTTTATTCATGAAAATACCGCATATTATAACCAAAATTGTTTTCTGAATTTATTGCTAAATTCCCTACAAAATCTCTGAGGAGTTCTTAAGGTTGAAATTAACAAGGCCTATGTTATCTTGAATATAAAGAAGTGCATAAAGGTTTTTAACTAGTTTAAATTCTGAACTATGAAGGGGCTAACCAAATTTAATCTTAGGGTGGATTATACCTAAGAGAAATGTCAACTCAAAGAGGTAATTTCAAAGCAGAGTTATAAGCTACGCAAAGTAATGAAAGTGCCTCTGTCATACCCGCGGGATGGCAAGCAGCACATACAATTTGAAGCTGTAACTTTTGATGTGTTCCCAGCCAGCTCAGTTAAGACAGAAACTAGAGACATTATGGAATGTTGCCCAATGCCTGTCAATTTAGGAACACACGGGCAACATGGCATCTAGTTTCAAAACATTACTTAGCACAAAATTTCAACTCCATTATTCCATATTATATCACCATTCCCAGAGCTGTTTTTTAAGATGTGTTCGCCTAGCTGCCCGAGATCCTAAGCCATGATGGATTCCGGGGGTACAACAGGCCCCTTCCACGACAGCCAATTCCATGACATGCCTTTTTTAGGAGAGTCTGTGCTTTCTTGCGTTTTCTCATAAAGCGGAATACGTAAAATATTCATAATGTTAAAAATACAAGTCACAAAAGCAACATGGCACAGGGAAATCACATGCATA